CACAAAATGCCCACAGTACCACTAACATTCCCAAACAGGATTTCACTTATCTCCTGATAGAGTTTCTCAGGAGAAACAGGTGAATACAGCTCTCCAAACTGGAAACAACTGGGTAATTCTTATACTCTACAGGAGAAAATATGAACACTAGAAGAAATGATACAAAAGTGGTATTTCAGTTTCAAAAGGAAAATAAATTGATCAACCTAAAAGTAACTGACAACAAAATGCATTGAATATGCTCAAAAACACACCTGCTATTGCAAACACCATTGCCAAGCATCAAATATATTCAACCTGCTGAACACAAATGCCTTCATCTGTGTTTCAGATCTAATAGGAAGACAAATTTATAATACAAAAACCAAATGTCACATATACCTTTCAGAATGCAGGAAATAGTGAGTCACTAACTGATCATCCATGGTGACCTTCTGCTGAGACCAGACACTCATCTCTGCATCCCCAGACATGAGCACATAAACTTACAATTGTGCCATGTATCACTCACTAGTAGAGACTACGTGTCAACTTCAAAATTCAATATAAGTTTAAATTGCAAACATTTTCTCCTCATTATCTAAGGGTCACATGTACTTTAGAAAAGATAATTTGGGGTAGACATAAACCCTAAATGTGTATCTCATGCTGAAAAAGCTCTTGCTCAGTTATCCAGGGTGGTCTTTGTTTTGAAACATTCCTAACTCTCCCAAGGGGTTGGTATTATACTTTTGAACCACCAAGATTCAGTACTGTTTACTTTACCCCAACATGGAAACCTTCATAAAATTCAGTGACATAAAAATGAAAACACTGATCCAGGCATGGTAGTGCATTCTGGAAACCCTAGAACTTCAGGGGATGATGCATGAGACTCTAACAATTTAAGACAGTGTGGACTACAGAAGGAGACCCAGTGCTCTCCACCAAAACAGAGGCACAACAGTATAACTAACAAGATAGCACATGTCTGACAACATGTTACAGGCAGCTGAGCTAGTTAGAATTATTACAGGCAGTCAGCCAGGGCTAGGCACTCCAATTAGCTGGCAAAGAGGACCAGATGTCTGGTGACTGAAGAGTAACACATCTATTGCTGTGGGGCAGATCTCAAAAGAAATGCAACCACACCCTTAGGTATAATCCTTATGGATTATGCATGGATCACCTTGAGAAGCCTGAAGTCACCTTTCCAACCCCCTACAGGAAGAGCCACATTGATCCATAAAGAATGCTTGCTTTCTGCCTGACTGACTTTCCAATTTGTCCCAGACTTAGTCAATTTTATCTGAACAATTAAACTTATTGATTGACCATAGCTCTCTTCCAACTTATGCCAGCCTGCCTTGTGAGTTCTTTTTTTTTTTCCCCTCCTTAGAATGGCCTCACCTCATTGTTTTACTCTATAAAAATTACTAGAAAATACAGTCTTTGGGAACCCATTTGGGACCCCTTCTGTCTTTCCGTCAAGACAGAAGCTTTCTTTCTCTCAATAAATACATCTGCCTTTCACCTCCTTTGTTCACATATTCATTTTTCAAATTCAGAGAGCATTAACTTGTACTGGACATATAGTAGGTTGAAAGTTTCATTTCCTATATCAAGATTAACAATCAAAGTGCTGGAAAATTCTAAGCACTTTGTGCCACCTTGGACACAGTAGTAAGACCTCATCTCAAAATGCAATAGAAGATTTTTTAAAAATTAATTTTTTTTTAAAATTTGGGAGAGTAAGGGCCAAATTTCTGATGTCAGTCTTAAACAATCAAAAACATCATCTATTCCTTGAAATCTTTGTTGTCTGACAGAAAATCTTTTCCATGCTACTTTAGCTATGATGTCCAACATACTTTCAAAATTCCAAAACTATTGCTCTAACTTCCTGTCTTACCTCAGAGATGATTAGGTGAACTGATCAGTAGACACAGAAGAAATATTTATCCATGACTAGGTCTCCCTCCTTTCTATAGGCCTGTGAGCCTTTTCCTACTCTCAGACCTAGCAAGCAGACAATCCTTCAGTGCCTTCACACTAGGTCAAGCTCATCTCAGAAGTCCTTTTCTCTTCTGGCTGTTGAATGGGCCTCTGTCCACAGGCCCCTGTTCTCCCATTGCTTTCAATCACCTTGACTTTTCTTGTTCCAAATAACATTTTTTCTGATTCTTTAATACTCATGCAGATCCTGACTATGTGAATATACCCCTACTTCAGTAAAAACTGCATCTCAATGTTGCAAATTTTTTTTCTGTCTTTCTGAGACAGGGTCTCACAAGGCAGTACAATAGGCCCTTGAGCTCACTTCATAGCCAAGATTTGTCTTAAGTTTTCAATCATCCTCAGGTATCAGCCCTCTGAGTGCTGGGATTAAGGACATGTGCCAACACACCCCATTCAATGTTTCAAATTTCAGGTCAAAGTCTAAACACAACCCTAAGGGTAAAGCCATTCTTTTAGAGGGGGCAATCTGCCCTATCCATTCTCGTAATTATCACATCTACATCCCTGTAGACACCAGTTTGCTGTGTTTCTCAGTGTGAGATTAACATGCACCACATACAGGAAGTTGTTCTCTGCAGGAACTTCCCCACAGGAGCTAATGAATTCCATCCTTCAAATATTTCACTGCTATGTTGTAACTAACACGCTGCCACATTGTTCTGTATGCATCATTACCCTGGTAACCCTGTGCTCTGTCTCAACGTTTGCCCCCTTTGTGAAAGACAATTGTTCCTAGAATAAGTTGACCTCCAGTCACCTATATTGTCTCGACCTTTGTCCCCTTTTTGTGAAATACAGTTGTGTCAGGAATTAGGAGACCACAAGTCGCCAAGTTCCTGTAAATAATGAACTTGTTGGCCACCTGCTGCAAAATTTCCACAAGGCAATTAACTAATCAAGAATTTCTGTCCCCAAATCAAATAGGCAATGAAAAGCCTTCCTCAGCCTTCCCCCCTCCTACTCCTGCTTTGTAGTTTTTCCCCTTGGAAGCCTCCCAATGTTATAACCTAAGCCCCCCTAGCTATCCTAAGGTCTGTTCTAAGGTATAAGCCCACCTGCTGCTTCCCCTCCCCTTCTCCCTTCAAATTTAACTAGGTTAAGTTTTAACTTCCTAAAGGCCATAAAACAAAGGCCTGAGGTAATAGCTCCTCTTCCCTACCCGGTAGCCCGTCACAAATTGTGTTAATTGTATTAGATTGTACATTCTTCACAAAAATAGCTTCGTTTATATCACAGTAATACCTGTAACTTGGCCTTACTGTAAATGTGTGTTTTCCTTTCCCTCTGGGCAAAAGATTGATATGTTAATCGATGCTCTCTGCTGTAAAGAATTGTAAAATCTTACCTAATTGATATGTTAACCATTGTTGCCCACTACAAATAGAACAGTTGTGGTGCTAAAGTAAGGTAACTAAGGTTGTTAATTGCTGTTAGACCTCTCTATTCTTTGCTAAGGAAAACAAGATTTCTTCTTATCTAAACTTGATAGTATGCAGGGAGACTTGCAATTGCCGTTTCTGCTTTGTAGTGCGTCACACCCCCATCCCCCTCCTTACATTGTGTGACCAGCAGCTGTTTGTGGATTTACAAGATAAAAAGTCCTGACTTTTAGCTGTGAGGTGCGCAGTCTCCAAATTGGCTTCCGGAGACTGGTCACCAGGCCTGGATTTTACCTAATAAAGCCTTTGCTTCCCAAATTTTAATTTCTTGCTTTCTTGGATTTTATACCGGGGTCCGAGTTATCACACCAAAAATCTAACATAGTTGCACAGTTTTGAAAATTCCAAGGCTACTGTGCCACTGGTGCTGTTATACACTGAAATGTATTTCAAAAAGGGGATGAGACATCTTTAAAAAGAAAAGAAATGCTTCATCTATGCAGGTACCCAGGGACATGCCTGTGTTCTAATTTTCAGAGCTGTGCAACCAGGTCAGGCTACAGGGGGGTTTCTAAAAGGCAAAATTGCAAAGTAGCAGGGAGCTAATGCAAACAGGCAGTTAATTATTGTGAAATGTTTTACAACCTACTGGTTGGGAGCCATGTGTTTTACAATCAATGGTCAGCTTAATTCACAGGAAACAGAAATTGGAACAAAGATGAGGGTAATGATGCTTTACAGAACAGGGTCGTGGGTCCTTAACTGGCTTACAACAGTGCCAGGTTAAATAAAGCACTCTTTCTTTTTAGATGTCATCTCATTTTTGGGGTACAACATTCACAGCATTCTAAACTGTATGGAAAACCCTGATTCAGTAATTCAATTGTAAAACAGTGTTGATTTACTTAGCTTATAAATTAGGCACTAGCTAAAGAAAGAGCCTGAGATAAAATTGCAAAATTTGTAGCTTTGATAAGAATTAAAAGGAGAATAGATGAAGACTCAGGGCTTTGAACCAGTAGGGATTTTCACCCCCACAGTAAAATGCAGATTACATATTTAAATATAAGTAGCCAGTTTATCTCTAAACCCTGTTTACCTTAAACCACACAAGAGGAAGAAATGGGTTAGAGAACCTGGGCTCAAAGTAGTTATTTTTTCTTGGTGCAGGGACTCACGACTATAATCTCCTCACACTGGAGGCTGATGAAGGAGCATGAGCCGGAGCTCAAAGTCAGGCCTGACTATGTAGATATGCTCTGTATGCAAACAATATAAAATAAAACAGAAAAGAAAGAAAGACAGATAGATAGCTGGAGATCTATTTTAAAGCCACAGAGCCTAGTGTAGCTGCCCTCTGACTACCCAGGAGGGAAGCATTCCAGAAGTCAAGGAGCTTTTCTAATTTTGTATTTTGGTTCCAGAACGCCACACTCAGTGTGGCGAGAAACTGTTTATGCAGTAACATCATTGCGAGCAGAGATCTCACAAAAGGAATTCAGATGATGGTTTTTTCTCACTGAGAAGAGAACTCGGATTTACCCCAAATCACTGAACTCCTCAAACACAGCAGTGCCTGGGGCTGCCCAAAAGGCTTTCTAAGCTTACAGTGGTTCTGCTTACCTCCTTCCAAAATCCACACAATTCCAACCCTTTCCCAGCTCAAATGCCATCATGTTACCATTGTGATGCTTGAAGGTGTCCGAGGATCTTTGCAGCACTCAATAAGAAGTCAAGGAAAATAGACGTGCTCTCAGCTCCCAGGTTCTCGCGCCAAACTCACAGTAAGCGCTTCTGCACCAGGAACCGGAAGAGCCCTCCTCCCTTAGCCCTCCTGATTGGCTGTGCAGCCAGCACTTCTGCACCAGGACCTGGAAGAGCCCTCCTCCCTTGGATGTGCCCTCCTGATTGGATGTGCAGCCAGCCCCCAACATTATCAATGATTGGCTCTTGGATCGGTCTTTGTCCTGTTTTGTCATCCTCAGCAGCCAGGATTAATACTTCCCTTTAAGAGCTTTACTAAGCTTTTTCAAGCTGTTCTGTGTTTCCTTAAGGGCTCAGTGCACTTTCCTGAAGATAGGTCCTAAATGTTCCCAGTGAATGTCCTCTGGAAGAAACAATCCCTTGAAGTCAAAATGTTATACTAAGATGCCGAAAAATTAAAATAATTGATTAAAAGATAATTAGCAAAAATAGTTAAAAGTATAGTTATTAGCAGTATTGCCATTCTTTACTGAGTTCATTACCCAGTAACCAAGCACCAATCGCATAGCTATAGGTTAACTGACCACATCTTTATGCTGTTCTGTACACCTTGCCTCCACGCCAAGCAACCTGTATGCTATGTCAACATTTGTTCTCCCTTGTAAGAGACAAATGATGTTGTGTCAACCATTATTCCCTTTATGAGAGACAAATGTTCCTGAACTTGGCAGACCAAGGGCTATAAATTGGCTAACCACCCACTGTGAAATTTCTCTGACCTCAAGCAAAGGGGAACAAAGGCTCACCTTGTTTGTTTTTCATCACTATGTACTTAATGATCAATGAGCTAATCATAAATGAACTATAAAAATCAGTCAAAATTCTAACTCAGTTGCACAGCTTTGCAAATTCCATCTGCGCTGTGTCGCTGAGCCAGCTAAAATAAAAGCTGTTCTTTTAAAAAGACATCTTGCCCCATTTATCATCTCGGGGGACTTGCCCCATTTTTCATCATGGGACCTTGTTTTTTGGGTGGATTACAAAAAGAAAAGATTACTTGGCCAGGGCAGACCAGGACAAACTGGCAGGGGTAGAGGCTGCTGTCAGGAATGAGGCTATAAAATTTACTTCCCAGATTTTCACCAGGTCTGTCTCAATCTGATCATTTTCATCCAACTAATTATAATATGTGCACCAAGAGAATTCCATTACAGAGTGAATGAAGAAACTACACAAAACAGGATTTTGGGGAAAGTAAAGATGAAGGAAAATCAAACAGTCCAAGTGCTTCATAAAAACTTCATACCATATCCAATGTCATAAATCATACCTAAATTTTGAAGATAAAACATGAGGTCCCAAGGATTGCTGAAACAAAGTATTGCATTTGATCCACTTCCTGTTATCACGTATGGGATACAAAAAGACTTTAGACTGGAAATGAAAACTTTCTTGCATGTATGGGTATACTCCACTCTAAGGTCATTATATTAGAGCATTAGCCTGTCACCTAATTGTTGACTTGACTACATGTGTAAGATTGATTTTAACCAAGCCATAAATTTTAGACATAAAACACAGACTGCATGAAAGAAAATTAGTAGGACTGATGTAGGAATTTGCAGGCAGGCAAAGGTACCTGAGTTGGGATCCCAGGGTCTGGCACAATTTCCAGTGAAAGGGCTTTGTTGACTCTTTGAGTAACGCAGCCAGAAACAAGCCCTCAGTTATCTGGCTACAGGTAGTTGTCTGACCCTCATTTCTTATCTTTCTTCCAAAGGAAATGTTTTCATTTTCCATTTCAATCTTGCTATCTCTAATCCCTTGTGTTACTTTCACTGTTTGCTATAGGGCAGTGGTAGAGTGCACACCCCAACCTGTGACTAAATCAGGCAGAAAATCATTTCTCTTCTTTTTTATGGGTTCCACTAATTGAACAGCAAAGACTTGTTTTTTTTCTTTTTACTTTCTAGTACAATTAGAAAAATATCTCTCCTAGGTTCTGGCTTTATTCCACAGCTATATTTGTTGTCCTTGTGAGTCCCTGAGTTCAGTTTCTACCAAATTAAGAGGTTCAATAATATTCTCTGTAATGATTACTGGTAGGATATTGATAATAGTCTTGCTCTTTAACTAATAACAGTGCCTCTTGCATAAGAGATTTTCTTATAATTATGCTGAAGGAGTTCTTAATTACCAATCATGTATCTAACCAGATTTAATGTGATAGGTGTATCTGATATGAAGTGCATAAGTTTCTGTTTCTGGGCATCAAGCTTCTGACTTATCTGAGCCCCTAATTCACTCCTTAGAAAAGATTCAAAACCTGGTACTAGCATGTTCCCTATGAAATTCCTGCAGTTATTTGGCACACTATCTCTGTGACAACCTACACAGTGCACAGGTACTTAATTGGTTTTCCTATTAAATAAAATCTGTTATTATTGCATTTTGGATTCCTGGGTGTTTTTGTACTTGCAAGAAGAGAGGGTATCTGAAGTTTTGCCATTCTGCATTTGTGTTACTGAACTTTCTATCTTTGTGGTAAAATATCTGAGAAATCCAGATACTGGAAATGGAATATTTACTCGAGTTTTATTTTTGCTAATACTTTCTGAAGATCAAAGCATGGTGAGAATGTGAGCCAGAGTACAAGAGCTCAGCTCATATTGCTAAAGATGTAGAATAGACAGGAAGCAGCTACAACAAAGGAAGAAGCTTCCAAAGACACTACATATATGTGTGTGTTTGTGTGTGTGTGTGCTTGTCTGTCTGTGTTCCTATCTCTGTGTATATGTGTACATGTGTGTTTATTTATGTATTCGAGTCTCTGTGTATTTGTGAGGATGCAGGGATTCTACAGTCACACCAGGAGTCTCCTCTCCATTCTTTCTCTGCACAACTAATCACTTACATCACAGTGCTGTTCAGACCCTCTATTCTCTCAAATTTCTATCTCCACATGTTGCTTCTATCTTGGTGCACCAGATGTCACTCCCTGTGTCTCTCACACAGTGATGCACAGCAGTGTCCTGAGGGTCACAGACAGAAGCTGCCACAAAACAGGCTCTTAGACTGGTCTCTTGAGTTGAACGCATTGTATTTTATTACAGACTAAAAACACAACTTCCAGCACCTGTGTGTACAAATAATTTCCAAATAGAAATTATTCAGTATAAAAGGTAGGAAACAACACATGCTGATAACTGACAATATTATGTAAAACGCTTGCACAAAATTAGTGCTTGTTGACTATAGATGGTCTGTACTGCTCCCTTTCATCTAAGTTGAGCACTCAGAAATGGAATACCTGACAGGTCCCATATTTAGCTCAGATGACACTACATCCAAGATACACATGATCTATCCTCTCTCTGTCACCTAACCCATCAGATTCCCTAGACAGTCACCAGGATTGGGGTTTTGGGATCCAGAGAAGGCTTTTAGTCTTTTGGCTGTGTCTCCTTGAGAAGTAAGTGGCACCTGCAGTGAGTTTAAGTCTGGATTTTCTGACATTCTCCCTGTGTTTATTTTCTCTGGATCTGCATCTCTGATCCAGGATGCAAGGCTTACAGGTTCCTACAGCTTTTTGTTTAAAATCCAGTGCTCTCTGGACCTTCCTTGATGGTACTGCTGTCCCTTCAATGTGGGAATGCAGAAAAATAGATGTAAAGTTGTAAATACCTTTAAATTCCATCCTCGATGTCCTACAGACTACATTGGGGTCCGGGAGATTTATCATCCATCCATGGAGAAAATAACTTCTCTGGCCCTGACACCTGCTGGTACTGCCAAAAGAAAACCAGGACACTTGTGGATGAACTAGTCTTATATTCCTACAGATTGTCACTACCATGACCCTGATAGAAGAAAATTAGTTAAAGGATTGCAGTCTTTACAGGATTCTAATTTTAGATCATTCAGTAATCCAGATCCTAGAGGAACAGGTCACATTTTGGAAACTGTTCTTGATTGAGGTGCAGGGCAGGTCCCCTTTTAAGTTCCCTTTTGCTTTTCCCACTACAGGCAGGGACACATCTTAGTATTATGCATGTCTTAGAGTGTCTCCTACACACTGTAAATGGTGACTCAGTATCAGCACCTTTCTCCAGTGATCCTGGAGATGTGGTTTCAGGGTCACCAATTGGAGACAGCAGTTGCCTGATAGGAGTTCATGTCCATGAAAGATATCCACATTCTACAGGACACATTCTCACCAAGAAAGACACAGGGCTGGTATAGTGGTCTCAATATACTGGTATGTCCATTCCTGACCTAAGAAACCAGGATAAACAGGGACACAAATATCCTTGAATCTGTCAGGTGAGTGACCATTTGCTTGAAGGAACATGTATGTCAGGTGTGTCCTTCCAAGTCTCTGACTCTGGCAGCACCCCATGGCACACTTGGAGGTCCCTAAGGCCCAGAGGAGACAAAACTTTCAGAAATCACCAAGGCAAGAGTGAGAAATGGGCTTGAGGCCTTGGGGTCTCTCAACATTGGATGGAAGGTGGTGGGAGCAGAGGCTGCTCAAGGCTGTTCTCTCCTCTGCTATCTGCAGCTTCACTGAGTTCTCTCAGATAATCTTGGGTACTGCAGCTCCTTCAGCTCTAATCCTTCCTCATCACACTCTGTGCCAGACATTGTGGGAGTCTGTGTTCACTAGGGTTAACTATCATGTGACAACCACAACAAAAGACTAGGGAATTGGATCATTATCACCTGACAACTGTACCTTTCTTTGGGACAGCCCATTTGCTTTCATTTATTTCACTGATAAATTATTTTAACTCTTCAAGATCATATTCAAAGCCTGGGGATTGTTCTGTACTTGTAATACTTTCTCTCCACATGGGACATATTTCTGGAAATGTCCTTCCTGAGCCCCTTTGATATGGACCAAGGTCTCTGTCCACTTCTCAATGGTAAGTCCTCTCTTTCCCCTATCAGAGCACTGCATGCATGATATTTATTAATATGGTTCTTGAGATTCTGAGAGTTTCTGGAGGTAACATGTGTGCTGTCGTGACAAGGAGCATGATGTGACCTCCTTATGGTCTTACTCTCTCATCTAGTCACCCAGCATCTCACCATCAGTGCACTCTCCACTCTGAGCCTGA